ATATCTTTCTTTGATGAATATATATATATATAAATGGAGAGAGAGAAATAGAAATCTCTTACAAATATTGATTAGGATATAAAGTTATGCTGTAATAGAATAAAAAGACAAGTTTTTGGAAAAAATTTGCGCAGATTACAAGTATTTACGATCAATCGAAAGTAATTAGAAAACATTAAAGTTTCTTTTAAAATAAAATATTTTATTTTCACCATTTGGCACAACTGTTAAATAAATGGTTCATTCAAAGTAAATTGCTATTTTAAATTCTTAGCCCAATTAAAAGGCAAAATATTTGTACGGACAAAGATAAAACATATTTTAAAACACCACATTTCCTCTTTCAAAAGGAACTGCTAAAGTTTCATTTCGGCAATTCATTATTTATTGGCTTTGGAAATGCTTTCTAAAGCAATCTAAAAAGAGAAATAATTATTTAAATGCCGCAATTAATTGCAAATTTTGTTACTTTGTTTTATTCACATGGATTATAGTTTTCACTTTTTAAATTTGGTCCTTGCAGGAACGATTTCTTTTACTCAAAATTTTTGCTAATTATACAGCAAAATACTAGTATTATGATGCTGTTTACTTTTATACATTGAATAGTTACAAAGATTAATTTCTATTCTGCTCCTAATGAGTGAAAGATACTTTCTTGACAATAATTTATATGAACAGGAACTGAGACAATTTCAATTATATTCATAATGTCTTTACATGGTCACCAAATTTTTTTCATGTTACTGGTTTTGAAAATAAATATATATTTTTAGTTACTAAATATTTCTAGTAATAAATGGAAAATTAACAAGATAAATTTATTCCGTTACTTTTAGGCAATTAAAATTTATAAAATGTGCTTTTTTTCATGTTTCTTACGTCACAGTCAGTAATTAGTTTGATTATTTTTTTCAAATAAAATAGTTCTATAAATTCGAATAAAATAATTAAAGTAACGGTTTATTGTTAGAAATTAAGTAAATAAATAAATATTAAAATAAACCAATGCTTATAAAATATATTCATTGCTTAACTACAAATAATTAATTGAGAAACGCTTTAACAAAAAATAATGATTTATAATTTCTTTTTTTATCACGGAGAAAACAACTCTGGTAAAATAACTGCAATGCATGGTAATAGGATTTCTGGAAAAAAATATTAATATTGGTTAATCAATCCAAAATATGCTGTGTTACTGAGCTTTTTGGTGTTCCCATAGAACCAGAATAAGCTAAATTTTCCTATATCATGGTAGTTTTGACTAGAATATAGTAAAGTTTGACCTACTTTTGTTAGTTTGAACTACTTTATTCCTCTCTTTGATCTGTATTGCTAAATATTTTTGCCGCATTGATCTTAAAGAATATGATCATTTTTTCGATTACTTTTATTACTCTTGTCATCACTTACTTCTCAACTCACTAATAAGTATGTTGAAATGGAAAATTAAAGAATTTTATCTTTCCCACACATTTTGTAAAAAAATACAGAACTGCAAAGTAAGTCTAAACATTTTATCTTTAAATTTTAATTTTCAACACTGAAACCTATTAAGTCATCTAACTGCAATGCATAAATATTGAATTTTCAACAGCCCAGATTCAGCTAATATAAGTAATTCACTGTAGTAATCTACTCCAAATAGGACTGATTACAATATCGTTGTAATACAAATACAGAATTTAATGACCGAAGTTCTCGTGATAATTTGTCAGTGAACGATAAATTGCTTGAAATCGCTGACATAGAAACTACTATACGTAAATTAGTCTTGAATAATGAAACGCTTGTACTCAAGGAAACAATAATCCTTACAATATATAACTAGTGACGCTGGTTATTCAAGATACTAGTTAAGTCAAACGCTGTTGAATTTATTTTGAAATCTGTTAATGTTAAGAAATATTAAACTACACCCGAAACTTTAACCAATAAATGGTTTTGCAAATCAGGAACGCTTTCAAATAATTTTACCATATATTTTAAATTTTTATTTAGTCTTTATTTATAGTTCCCTCATTGCATACTTATTTAAACCTATGGAATTTTAATAACAAGGATATAACTTTGTAATTTAATAACATTTTTATTTAACAAAAGATTAAAAGTACCGGCACTGAAGCACCGTAAATTTAATATTTACAACAAAAGGTTATATCCAAAAAATAAAAAAAAAACATGAATCAATGATCAAGCAAGTCTTTATATGGATTAGGAACTTGTTTAGCAAACCAACAAATTTATCTCTGTAGTGACTTATCTCTTGGTGTATTTTTTTGTTAAAAAGTCAGATTAAATATGTTAGAAAACAATTCACGTCTTCGTAGTAAAATAGAAGAAAAATATGTCTCTGCTAACATTGATGTAGCATAAATTCTCAGCACAAGGAAAAATAAGTTCTGTTATTCAAAATTACAGTTCTCCTTGCCGAAAATTTAGTAAAATATGCACTTCTGAAAAGTAAATTTAACAAAATAAACGAATTTTGTGCCATGCCCTGTGGTATTATGAAAAAAATTAAAAAATTTTTGGCATTTAACAAATTTTATCACATAATATAAATTCCTATTTTATTTTTAATTTTTAAAAATTATTACCAAAGATGTTTTGTAAGAATTACGAGCTTTTCGGTGTTGGCAGTGGAACCAGAAACATGGTAAATTTTTACACCTTTTTTGTAGTTTTAACAACATTTTTTTTCTTAGTGCATATTTTACTATTTTACTATAAAAGTTGAATTGTGACGAGGATATTATATTTTCCAGTAATATTTATCTGAAAGATTTCTTAAATTTTTCACTCTACATTTTTAATTTTTACAACGGAAAGTTTATATGTTATAACAATTTCCCAAGAATCATTAATTCCTTTTTAATCCGTTACATTTTAATTGCTCAAAATAAGATTCTTGTTTTTTATCTACATTGAGATTAGAATAAGATTTATTCTTTTTATCTTTACTTTCTTCATGTTCCAATGAATAAACAAAGAAACTTTTTTTCACTTATTATGAGAATATTTGATTCTTGGTCCATATAGCTCGGTTTAATCCTGTCCCGCCCCCCGTACTGGGCATCCAGTGAATACTATTGAAAGATCAGTTTACCATTGAAGGTCTATATAGAAGATCAAACCTATTAGGTGAAAACAGAATAAATGAAGAACTAATTTTAAGCTTTGGAAATTTATGTTTTTCTAAGAGCTATCGCTTTTAAGAAGTAAAATAGCTAATTTGTATAAATGTTACTATCTCTCAGAAAAGACTGATATAAAGTAACGGAAAAAGCATATAAATGGCATTATTGAATATTTTTGGTCATTATAGCAAGTTTTGGCAGTTTTCTGACATATCCTAATTTAAGTTGACTCGTAACCGCAGAGATCAAATATTGGATCTTAACGGAGAAATGATCCCTTACTTTTCCAATAAAACTTATTTCTAACTTACTTCTTACTATTTATATCTTTCTTTGATGAAAATATTATACATATATTACTCAGTGTGTTCTATAAATTGTATATTGAATTAAAAATAATATATTTTGCCTCTGAAATAAAAAGAAAATACAATTGTTCTTCAATTTTTAAAATGAAATAGTAAAATTTAAAAAAAAAAACAAAAAAAACTAGTAAAAGCAATATTTTTAAGTTACAAATAGCATAAACCATGATTTTTCCGTGCTTAAGACAACAAACTGGGTTAATCAAGGGTTTAAAATTTGTGGCCCAAGATTGAACGTTTGCCAGGTTAGTGTTTAGGATAGCCTCCGAAGCAGAAAAGTCAGAATTAGTATTCCAGATGGCAATGTCAAACTACAACAACAAGATAATATACTGCAATAAGAACCCAATTTTTTTATCACTGATAATAGTTTAATAGCCCACCCAACTTCCGATCAATGAGTTCCAACTTGCTTAACAAGTAAAGGCATCCAGTGAGCAATGTTGACCACACTACCACCATTAAGTCGCTGATCTCTAAGTGACGGAGTCCTGACATTCATGATTCCCTGATCAATAACTGATTTTTTGATAGCGACATATTAGGACATATTTAAGGTGACAAATCAATGTTTGAATTTTAAAAAATCAGTATTGAATACAATATTTTGAAATTATCGATGGCATTACTCTTCATTGTCTAAATAAAAAGGTTTAGAAGTAAGCTGGTTATCTTAAAACTTATACTTATAATTAAGCCGTGAAAATTTTAAAATCAAGCCGTCAATTAGTTTCAGATTTAGTGTAAAAAGTAAAAATTCATTGGATAACTGATGAGGGTAAGAAAAAGGAAGCTGGCTAGAGATTTGAGAGACTGTATAAAGATGGAAATTAGTGTGTAAAAGTACGGTTGTAAGAGACGTTAAGAGGCCATGCCATTGAAAATATTCATATAACGTAAGACATAGTTATCTGTAAAAATAATTACTTAAGTAGCGATATAGTTGTATTTTTTTACTTGCAAGAAAAAAAAACTATTGAACAATGACTGATTTATTTATTCGACATATATACTATTTATATCGAATAAATCATTGTCAAAAGTAAATACATATAAAGAATCTGTTGAAATAAGAGATGACCAGCAAGTTAAGAATGATATTAACTTAATAGGTAAAAATCATCTTACCATGCTAAGCCGTTGTTTGCCAATCTCAAGGA